TTACGTACAGATATCGTATAAGTAAAGCTCTGACGTTCATTGGAACCAATTGTTTTTTTACTATGCAGGTCTTTATCCCGCTCACGACGTATCACAATTTTTTTATCGCGCCCCAGTGAAAGATTCATCGTATCACGAACATTACGCATATCGATATAACCTTGTCCTACATATGATCCTTCAAAGAAGATATTTGTGCTTGCCGGCAGTAAATTGAGGTCTTCCCACTGGGTGATCTGCGCTTGCAAAAAAGCATCTTTATTCAAACGAGGCACGGCAAAATAGCGATAAGTAGCTGGCAATTCATAACTCTTAACGGCCACGGTATGTTGCTGGCCATCGGAAGGAATGCTATACGGCAGGTCTATATCAAAGCTGGTATTGATGCCGGTGTTATCTACGGTCGTATAGTCATTCAACGCCTCTGTCTCCCGTGCATAACCCAATACTGCGGTGTCCATTAATCTTTTACTTTTCATCATGGGCGCCGGCTGAGCCCAGTTTGACTGGATTCTATTTGCACGGCTCTCATAGGCAACCGGGTTATAAAAAGAAAGGTAACCGGGTGCAAGCACCGGTGCTTCAGCACCTTCATTGGGGTTTCCGGTAGACAGGCTGAGCTTTATATTGTTCCAGCTCACACCACTGTTCTGAAACACATTTGCCTTGTAAGACAGTTTCACCGGATCATTCACCTTATCAACCCGCAAATCATAGGTAGGCGACCAGCCTGCATTGGGCACTACATAACTTATATTGATCGTAGAAGCGGTAGCCTGCTGAGCATAAAATTTGACCAGGAGCTGACCGCCGGGCTGGTAGTTTTTCTTTTGTTCTTCATTCAACTGGTTTTGTAACAGGGACCGCCGTTCATTCTTTTTATTTATATCGGCGGCCAGTGTACGCTGTGCCGTCAGCAGGCTGTTCATCCTGGTACTCATTAGCTCCAATAGCTTTTGCAACTCGGTAACAGACAGGCCATTGTTCTGCCCGGAGACTTTTTTGTTTTCCTTTAATACGGCAAGCTGTTCATCAACCACGGTTTTCTTATCGGTAATAGCAGCAATATCCAGCGTCAGCACGGCAATCGTATCCTGCAGCCTTTTACCTCTTGGCGATATACTGCTATCTGCCAGGTAATTATTCTGAAAAGTGGCCGCCTGTATAACTACGCCATTACCCGCGCCAATAGACAGGCTTTGCTGGTTTACATCGCCGGCAACATTGGTAAAGATCACATCGCTTTCGCCTTGTGGTAACGTTACTTTTGCGGTGCTAGCCAGCTCTGCCCCATTCAGGAATACAGTGGCTGCATGAATGGTTACTCTCACCTGGGGCGGCTGTGCCTGTACGATAATGGTACTTCCGAGCAGCATGAGCAATAGGACACTGATACGTTTCATAAAAAATTGGTGTTTACAAATGGATGCAATAGACCAGCAAGTTCCATAAAAATAAAATGCCGGTCACTTTATAGCAACCGGCATTTCCGCAGATATTCAATAAGTTATTCTGTCTTCAAAAATTTCAAGGTAGCTGTACGTCCCTTTTCATCCGTACAACGAACGAAATAGATTCCGGGGGACAGGGATCCGGTATGCAAGGTAAGCTGACGGGAGCCCTGGTTATAAGACAGCGCATAATCCCGGCCGGCTATATCTGTAACAAAAGGTATAATATGGCTGCCGGGTTCAAATCCGTCAATCATGATCTGGTTGCCGGCAGGGTTAGGATAAACGCGCAGAGACAGGTTGCCGGGGCTGATAGCTGTAATGGAAGAGGTGCCCTGCTTTACTTGCGCATACTTGCAGAAGGTAGCCACGGGGGCATCATAACCGGCAGGGGTATTAATAATAACCGAACCATTAGTAACTGGTTCGAAAGTGGTGCTCCGGGATAAC